TCACTTGAGCCAATGACGGGGATGGACATGCCCTGGTCTAGAGCAGCGGGTGCCGCGCTGGGCGCTGGTGCTGCGTTGGGCGCTGGGGAGCCCTCCACAAAAAGCTGCTTGGGAGGGCTGACGCTGAACAAAAGATATTCAGAAAAAAAATATTCACATATTGTGGATTTGAGCCTCATCATTGTCAATAGTAATATATGACAAAGAAAAATAGCATATGCATTAGAATAGCTGAAGATACAAAAAAACTTATTAAAGCAATACAACTCTTTAATGTACAAAAGCACAAATAAACATAAACTACACTACAAGAAGAGGTGTATCACACCTATCATCTGTGTCAGACACAGGCTTGGAAGGTTTGCTGGTTGGAGAGCTAAAGGGAGTCCCCGAGTCCGTGTCTCTGGAGCTGTCCAGATGACTGCTGTCCAGAGAGAGCCGCTTAGAGCTCCCACCGTTAGAGCTACGGTTCAACTCAGCTATGCTCTGCAGAAAGTAGAAAAGGGGGAAATAAACACAAAAGACTAGGAGGGACAATATTAAAGACCATCATTTAAAATGATTAAAGGGCTTTGTCCCCACATGCACAGGAAGATATCTCACCCTCTTCTTCTTCTGCACCAGTTCAGGAGGCAGGTACTGATGGAGCTGTTTCTTCTTCACATGTGTTGCTTCAATCTTCATCCCTTCCTTCAGCATGTTGATATTGTTGGCTTGTCTGTACACTGCAGAGAACAACATCTCATGTTTGTGATCACTGGCTACTGGAACGAATGTATAAACAATTTACTGACTGTTGGCAATTACTTCAATTTTGACACTTTGGAACTTGAACACTAGACATTGCTGAATTAATATTTTCAAATACTTCTTACAGTCTCGCAGTAACAGAAGAACTGACACAGGGCTAAGGGTTGCGCAATATTGAGGTATTAAGTAGTACTGTACTTATTTTAAAAGGATCTCTATATCTCAGACATATCTCTCTCTCTCTATTATCTCTCTCTCTCCATCTATCTCTCTCACCAATTACAACCTTTTAGTCATTGTGGACACTTGCACACAGTATAACTGTGCTGTAGCCTATTTTATCTTAAATGTTCAGTTGTTCCATGACCACCAACAGAAAGTGATATGACAGGACCTACCAGTGTCTGTAAAGGACTGGATGTCGTATGTCAGGTCAATGTTCACACTCTCCGCATTCTCCACTTTTTTGAAGATGATCCCAATGAACCACATGGACACAAAGTCGTTCCTGTTACACAACCAGCAAAATAAACAACAATGTTTATTTCAGAACATGTTTGTGATGCTAGATCAAGTAAATGCATACACTTGTACTCTCAAAAGGTCAACAGATTCCATGAGCCTGCCTAATAATTAACAGCAAGACCCTATCCAATAATGATTTCATGGCTCACTGACTTGGCAGTAGCAGTATTCACACATGTCAACAGGAACCATGTTCTAATTACTCAGGGACAAAAACCTTGCAAAAAATGTCTGATTAATGATTAGTAAGATTTGCCTTTGCTAATCTAGAACTAATTCTGAATGAGCTGTTTCTATGTATGGATAAAACTGGACTCACTCGTTGCGGTTTTCTTTGGACCCAGGGAAGGACTGGGGGTTGACATGAGCTAGGGTAATGTACTCATTCCTCTCCAGGTTTCCCACCAGAACACGGATCTTTGACTCCACCAGACCAATCCTGAGGGAAAATATCAGTATTTTTTCCAGAGGCGTCGGTAACAGAAGTTATCTTAACAGTACTCCAGTACAGTCTCCTGCCAGCATGAGTTCCGTTTTTGGGTTAGATTATATGCATTTCTTTTGTTATATTGTGACAGGTAATGTGCTACACACCAATTTAAACTCAAAGAAATTCTCAGAATGTTGCACAGCCGACGCAGTTTAAATACAATAAAGGTTCTTTGACACTCACCATTCTAAGTGGTTTTCTTCTGTGGACGCACTGGCAGTCAGAACGATGTAATGCCTGCATAACAAAACAGAATATCAGACAAGATGTAGAATAACTCAACCCAAAAGGTTCCTTCTAAAAGACTAAATCGTTGTACAGGGACTGGCAGCATTACAGCAACGTCTGCCAAACCCTCCCTAGGGTTTAATTATGATGAGCTTCAGGACCATCCGAATGAAGACCTCCCTCCATACAATCAGTATTTGTGAAAGACTAGTGTGCAAGCATAATCATCTTGTGTCCAGCTCCAGTACTTCATTACATATATGATTCTAACCATCAACCTTAATTATACTGTACATGTGATATTAAGCATTTAATGATGTGATTCAGCAGCATTTTGATAATCAAAACTCCTGGGTTCAATGTGTTAAACAGAGGAACATTAAAAATAATCAGTCATATCAGCAAGTTGCTAACGTAGTGCCAGTGGTGAAACTGCAGGGCCAACAGAACCTGGCAAACAGTTGTGTTACTTGAGCTGCGTGGGAGGAACTTTCATAAACAAATGAGTCACCAAACGCTACTGACCACTGTTAGGATGAGTCAAATCTGCCCAAAACCAAAAAAGTGAAAACAGTAAGTTGTTCAGGGGAAAAAAAAAAAAAAAACAACCTTCTCTGGTTTGAGTTTTAATTGCACAATTTTATGGCCTGCCAAGACTGTAAATGTCACAAACAGTTCATTTCCACACACCCTTCTATGATACTTACCAAGGTTCACAAAATGAATACAACTTGCATTAAAGAATTGTGATCTTCCTTCTAAGCAAGGAAACCATGATTGCCATATACACACACAAAACTTGCAGCTCTACATGTTTTATTCATCTTGCATTGATTAATAAAATGTTCCATCCATCAGTCCATTAACTGACAAAAATCAACACCTACTTGTACTTTTGGAAAAAGTTGGGTGGCTCAAAGAGTTTGGGCCATTCTGCTTTCCCCTGAAGAATCTCATCTGTGACGCTGAGGCCTGTTCACACCAGACACAGTGGGACAGAGACATATCAGGCTCAACAATTCAACATGCAAAATGACAATGTAAAATAAAAAGGTGGAGACTATAAAATAAAATCCATAGAAATGTACTATCACCATTGCCTTTCAAAAATCTAGGCGATATGAGATTTTAAGAACTGCATAAAGTGTTGTTTCAGTCAGGCAGTCTGCATTACCAAATTTGAACTCCTCGCTCATAATGGTGCGCGTAGATGTGGAGACATTGTACGTGGAGTTCTGCTGAGGATAGGCAGGTGTGATGATGGGCATCAGGTGGTATCTGTCAGATGGGTTCACCTATAAACAGCACAGGGACCTAGATTGGTTCACTGCAGACATGAGAACTTCCACTAACACATCTACACCCTCCATCCACCATACAGCATGATAAAGGCAACTTCACACCCACACACTAATGGCATCATAAAACCAAGGGTACACCCGATCCCTGCCGCCCCCTCACTCCCACACACAGGGCACATCCCAATTCACTTCAGTCTTTACATTTCCCCTCATTTTCATTTTTTCCCCTCAAGTAACATGAGAAGCAACTTTCTCTCAAATGTGTGAAGTGATTTGTCAGCTAGTGATGGAGCCTGTAACAGAGCTTTAGCATCAGTAGTTATTGTAATGCATTACACCCAAAACAGTGAGTCATTTTAGCAATTTAATTTTTATGTTCTCCAATAAGACAAATATATATGTATTACATGTAGCTTACATTGAGCTTTAAAATAAATTGCCTGATCAGCACCAACACATGCATGCACAACCCATATTTAGATTGTGTACAGATCGGCCAAACCACAATTATATTGCACAATACTTTGTGTGTTTGTTTTACCCCGGGTGCCAGCCACTCAATGACCTCATACCACCAAAAGCTCTTTTGGGGTGAAAACAGAGACCGTAATTTGAAGAGCTGCTGGATGCTATCTGCACATGGCTTTAAGCCATTTCTGAAAGCAGCAAAGCATTTTATTATTTTTATGCACATTTTGTTCATAAACTTTAAGTCTACCTTATAATGAGCATGTCTCACAGCACACAAATATAACTAAAGTAACCAAAACATTTGTGTGTAAAACTGTATTTCTGCCCAATGCACGGTGATTGTTGGCCGTACTGTGACTGAACGGAAACGACACCAACAGAAAATTAAAAAGTGTTTATTACTGAAGGGACACTACAAACATGACACAGCAATTACAACAGCTACAAGGTTTTCAACTAACTGAAAAATTCGTTTGGGATATATAAATGTATATCATATGATAAACAGCAAGAAAAATCTAAAGTCAAAACAAATATATCAAAGCCATGGCCGGGGGGGGGGTGAGATATCAAATAGACAGTCAAGAAGGGTGTCCTTATTTACTGCACAGAGGACTGTCATTTATCTGCCCACGCAGGTTTTTGATTGTAGTGTTGCACTGATGCGATTTAAACAATTGTCAGATCTGTTGTGCTATTCTACTGCTAATGCATTTTTACTGAAGGGTGTTTCTGTCTGACAAAAAGACATCCACGTAGGAAATCTTCCTTGCTCCATGCTGCTCTGGCAAGCCTCCTCTGAGCAGCGATAAGGGCATTGGAACTCATTTAGGGGACCCGGTCAATTTCCGGGTCGCATGAGGACAGAGGAATGAGGAGACAAGAAATGAGAAAATAAGATGTACCTATACTCTAACTGTTGAGCTAACAATAAAATACCAACAAACTTTTCACAACTCAGCAGAAAACCGTTTCCTGTGTCTGCAACACACACACACTTATAAACATAACATAAAACAATGATGTCATACTCACTCTGGGATCCCACACAGGTAAATTCAGATTACTGTCCTCAGGCTGTTTCAATAGCACAGGATTTGGCCACTCCCTGTAGGATGGAAATGTAGTCAAATGTGTGAATACTCAAATACAATTGTTTGCACAAGGCTGTGAAATACTGCCATCAAGTGGGACAGGAAAGTATACGGTTATAGAGTGTTGTGAGAGCTAAATTCTCACCATTTGGAAAACACCAAGAAGAACTTGTGGACCAGCGTGGCAGCCACAGCGTTAGGGTAGAGCTGGCAGGTCCTGGCCACCAGCATGCCCATGACACTCCACCCAGAAACCCCAGCATGTTGGAGTAGATCCCACGACCTGCGGACAGAGGACACATTACAACATCTATATCTTCAAATTCTACACATCTCCACACTTTTGAGCATTTATTTATTTGTATTTTTCTTAAACTGTGACAACTACTGAATATGACCCATGGATTGCAAGCAATAAAAACAGATTACAAGTACATTTAAATCCACATACGTTTTGCCCACAGTTTGATGGCTCTCAATGTCAGCCTGAAGTTTTCTTTGTTTGGCACGAGGTACAAAATTTCATCGGTCACTCGGCAGCCTGAAAAACAACGTGTCAGAAACCTAAAAACACTGACAGTAGTACAGTAAATTCCTAGTAAGAGAATGGTTAGGTTTCAGAAGAAAGCAAACTTACGTTGTTTAGATTCCTATACCTGCCACGACTAGTTGCTACAAATGTGACGTACTAAAAGCTTATTCTACTCTTGTACTTATTAAAAACAGCACCAGCATCAAGTATCAGGGATCAAGTCAATATCAGCTTCTCTACTGTATGTATACAATCCAATAGAAGTCATGTAGAGTACCATTAAGGCTGCGGATACACCGAATATCCAAGTTTCTCAGGATGGAGTCCCCCCTCAGGTCCAGGTTGTCGGGAATGGACTGTAAGGCGAGTCTGGCAAAAAGCAGGTCAATCTGCTCAGACAGACAGAAAAATAGAGTAGAGATCAAACATAATTAGAAATCATCATCTTCTATAACTGCCAGTTAGGGCTGAACGATTAATTGCATTTGCGATATTATCGCGATGTGATAAAACGAGATTTTCTAAATCGCAAAGGCTGCGATTACGCTCTGGTTACATGACACGCAGCAGTAAACAAGTCTGAAGAGAAAGCATCAACATCGCACATTTCGCTGTATCCTGACTTGCTGAGTAATGGCCTAAAGCTTGACAAGCCACTAGAGAAATTTAGTGTCACACAGGGAAATGAAAGTAGCACTCGCCACCCGCAGGTAAATTGGTGGTGGGTGAAATGGTCGGGCCATTTGCCGCTTTAACGGACAGAAAGACACGTGTAGTAAGGTAAGGGTATTGTGGCGATCAGTGCATGTGTCTCACACACAGCCAGAGTTACAGCCGGTGCCCTGCTTACCTGCATCGGAGGCTGCGGGGGAGCTGGTGTTGTCGGAGAATTACTAAGCTTGTCTATTAAACACGAGACGCGACGCTTGGTTTTATTTTTGTTGGCCAACCTTTGAACTGAACCTCAAACTGAGTTTTTTGTTTGCTTACTGGGATATAGAAAGATCGACTAGAAGATTTGAACTGAGATAAGGACTCATTAATTGGTGGTTGAACTGTGGGTTTTGTATCGAGCGCTTACTGTAGCCTATAGCACAGTGTGCTGTAGTTTTTCTTGTTGTCTATAGGTAGGCCTACCTGATGACATGTGTTGGTTGTACTATACACCAATTTATTTCATGTCCTTTTGAATAAAACAGAAGGCAAAGAGCTTTAAAATTAATCACATTAAATCTCAATTGCAATATTGCTAAAAAAAACAACAAAAAAAAAAAACGCTGCAGCAGGGATGGATCTGAATCAGAGCAGATACACAAATTATTTTGCACTTTTGTTTCAAATGACCCATCTCACAACGTTAACACTGACCGTCCATTATGGCAATATGCATGGAATTCTACGCAAACCCGTCGTAGTTAAAGTCAATGGTGTGCTGCGACTAAGCACGCAAAACATAACAGCCACCTTAAACATCATAATGGAAACAAATGCTGCAGGTATGTAAGAAACAAGCAGTCAGATGTGATTTTCCAACCTGCAAAATACATAAATGCACTGCTGAGATAAGGCACAACCATATTTCAACATAATGTAATTCTAATAGTTTTGGAAATATACTCGGCAAAAAAAGAAACATCCTCTCATTTACAACTGCTTTTATTTTCAGCAATCTCAACATGTGGTATTATTTGTATGAACATAAACAAATTCAACACCTAAGACATAAACTGAACAAAGTTTCACAGACATGTCAGAAACAGAAATGAAAAAAATGTGTCCTTGAACAAAGGGGGGCTCAAAATCAAAAGTAACAATCAGTATCTGGTGTGGCCCTGTGCAGGTGTTGTTACATGTGGTCTGCCACTGCGGAGACGATCAAATGTCCTTCTCGTCTCCCTGTAGTGCTTCCTAGGCATCTCACAGTACAGAGCAATTTATCGGCCTGGCGACATTGGCAGTCCTAATGCCTCCTTGCAGAATGCCTAAGGCACGTTCCTGCAGACAAGCACGGACCCTGGGCATCTTTCTTTTGGGGTTTTTCAGAGTCAGTAGAAAGGTCTTAGTAGAAAGTTTTTAACACCGTGACCTTAATTGCCTACTACTATCTGTACGCTGTTAGTGTCACAACAACCATTCCATTCCAGGTGCATGTTCATTGATTGTTTATGGTTCATTGATCAAGCATGAAAAACACATTGTGTAGCAAACAGTTACAGGTTACTGATCTTTACAATCTCCGTCCTACCTATGCCTAAGAGTACAAATACACTCCCTATAAAAGCTTTCTCAAAATGGTAATTATTTCCAAGTAGGTGTATTTAGTGATGCAATACCTATATGTAGACAGCACGCACCACTTGGATCTCAAAGTGACATACCTCTATACCTATAAAAGTGTTGTCAAACTGGTAATTATTACTGCCAATTAGTGTGTATTTAGTGACGCGGCACCCCTATACGTAGAACACATATATCACTTCAATTTTTAAGTGACTTACCTCTATTCCGTCAAATTTGAATTTTATCACTGGTACAAAAGCGTCCTCAACAGCCTTAAAAAAAAAAAGCACCAAGAGACAATATCACCAACAAATATGAGACAAGCCCAAGTTGCAAGAAGACACAATTTGCATACAGTAATATTCCAAAGACATGTAAAGTTATGTATTTCAGCATGCTCCTTAACACCTTAAGACCTAACACCTACGGTGTTTGGAAAATGTTTAGGGACAGTTCAAATTCAGAAAATATGAGCATAAAGTGGAATGAGTGTGTTGCTTATAGATGTCTATGGAGGCCAGGGCTTCAAGATTCAATTATCATGCTCCTCTTACAAACACAGGGTTATTCTTGCAACATCCACCAGTGAAAGTTCGCTGAGCTGTACCGCTACATTTTTGTATACGATCAGCAAGATGAGAACCGAAATAAACGCTTCAACAAAAAAGCTAATTTGATAAATGTATTTAAATACAATTTAGTGTCACCACAAAAATAAACTAAAGGGGTTTACACACTTTTTCCATCATGGTATTAATAAATGCACCTTGGGAAATTAACACTGATAATCAGTAGCCCTATCACCACGGGTCTCACTCATCTGCTGAATTACTACATTACTCACTCTAGTACAGGGCTTTCTTATTCCTCCACCTATTCAGCAGAAGTACACTTAGACTCAGCCATGCACAAGAAATACAGCAAACTAAACCAACATTAGGTGCAGTTTTGAAGGTCAGGGATGAAACGGGGGCTTCCCTCTAAATAACTTTGTGTGGGACATTTGACATAGAAACCTATACATACGTACATTTTTTTTAACCTGTGCTTTAATGACAAAATGCCACATAGACTTACCCTCAGGTCTTTGATCTCTTCGTGCTGTTTCAATTTCTCAAAGAAAGACTGGAAAAAGTCACTTCTCTCTACATGGCGTGGAGCCACACATAAGGCATCAATATCAGCTCCTGGAAAAAACAGTATCTTTAACCTGTGTAATCTGTGTTGCCTAGTAGAAACAATCTGATAAATGAACACAACAAAGTTGCTGCATTCTAGGCTAAAGAGAGTTCATGTAATAAAACATCACGGATAAACAAGTGAAGTGCAGAAAAGACCCCTAACAAGTTTTCTGACTGTCCAACTGCTTTGGACAGTCCCAGCCTATAAAATGTGGATTTAGATATTTTTTAACAAACAAAAACTACAAATCAGAGCTGGTTTTGCTGCACACTGATGAACTTGTGAACTTTGTAAAAAGCAAAAATGAAATCAATTTCAAGTATTTGTTTGCGTCTGTAAGACTAGAGGTGAGTCTAAATCTTCCATTTGCTGTCCTGACACCATATCCATTTCTCTATACTAATGCATCATCTGTGAACTGAAACTTGAGCCGCTTTTCATTTGTTTTCTCTCCTCTGCATTTCACTTGCTCACAACTGTGATACAAAGAAGTTCAACTGATTCAGGCTACGTCCACACTAATACGTTTTCATTTAAAAAAATTTTTTTTAAAGGAAAATGATCTCTTTACACAAGTGTTTTAGTACCATTTCAAAAATTAATCTCCACACCAACACGCCTGAACACGCATATCACGAGACAATTCACATACATCCACGGGAACCCTAATATTTTTGCTAGTCCTTGCACACGCGGACTGACTGTATTCAGACCAAATGCGAATTTAATCCACACAATGCTTTCCTCGCAGGGGTTTTATAGCTGGACATCCCTGGAGTGTTGACACACAATGCAATAACACAAATAAACACAACTTGCCATTACTACAGCTGTATGAACCCAAAGTAAACATTTTGCTGTGATTAAATAGCAGTGAACGGATCAAACTGATGCCGAACTAACTACAATATGATGCAGATTTGTTAAACATATGAATTCACGCTTTGTCAGGTCTGTCAGCAAGACAACATCTAAAATGTTTATTTTCTGAATGGAGTTTGGATCAATCAGGGCTATGCTATGCTAACTTGGGCATAGTAAAGTACAACGATAGCTGTAATAAAGTTACATACACATGTTTTCTGAACTCACCAGGTAGTTCAACCTCCTCGCTTTCTTTTCTCCCAGCAATGTCCAGTTTTGTCCGTTTTTTATATAAATATGAAGTAGTGCCAAACGACGCTAACACCACCACTGGAACCGGGTGTGCACGGAATCTAGCTGCTGAGAAGTTCGAGTGAAGATAAATAAACGTTGTAATCCCAAAAACTAAAGTAAAAGCTAATTTAATAACAGCAGTTTACTCCGAGCTCCTCCCTCGAGCAAATGGCGTAGTTGTCAGAGCATAATCCAGTTCACGGGTGTTTACTTGTCCAAAAGCTGGAGCGCAGCTCCCTGCTCCTCTCTCAAGTTTAGCAGATCTCTGCCGGCCAGCAGATTTTCAATCGCCCGCTCTGCCTGGCCCTCTCCACACAACGCTCTGAAGCTGTCGGTGACGTACAGACAATCTCAGCTTTGATAGGCTAGACTCAGCGTCATGCGAATTTCTCGCTTGCGTTGAAAATATTCAACTCATGCGAATTCCTTCGCGTTGCCGGCACTGCCCCCTTCGCATCGCCTGACAGGAAATCGCAACTCTAAGCGTCCTTGCATTGACTTTGTATGTAAACTCACCACCCCGAACGCTTGCTTTGCTTTTGGTCTGAAAGCACCATTAGGCTCTACTATGTCTGTATGGACAAGCAGCATGCACATAACTCAGAAGAAAGCTCGCGATATGGTGGATTTTAGGTGCAAGAAAGGGAATCTGTGAGCAGATGATAGCAAGGTAGAGAAGAAAGCAAACCACATGTTTATAGTGGCTTTTGTGGAGCTTTTTCGTTCACCACGGCTTGGTCTACAGCAGAACTGTGACAAGAGCTGGTCTAGAGTGACGTCAAAGTCGCATCAATTCCGGTGTCCAGGCTCAGGTCGCATTTAAAAAAATAAAAAATATACGATCTGTATCGGATTTACACATATCAAAGTGGCCCAAATCCGAACTGGAAAAGATCAGATTCCATGTGAATTGGCCTGTTCACACTGTTGAAACAAAATACAGCTAATCTTCACCTTGCGTCACCTAGTAGATGGACCAGAGTTCGGCCTTATCAAGGCAGCTGAGTCAGTCAACCAGAGACTTATTGTTTGAAAGTCACAGGCCGTTACCTTTGGCTTACTTTAGCTCAGCAAATGATCCTAACGTGACCTGGGGAAACCTGTTTGATATTACCATTACCAGCTGACAAATCAGGGAAGGACACGTTGTGATTGATAAGACCCAATCAGGCAGTGAACCTGGATGTCTGTTTCATCTGAAAATTCTCAGTTTTGCGCCAGTCCAGAAAAAAACGCAACCCCAAAGTTATCAAACTGAAATGGAGTTGGCAACATTTTCAAAAGTCTACAATGCCGGAGTAGTGTGGAAGCTAGGCGTAACCATAGCAAAGTCAAAGTATTTGTGTGGATGTAACGTTAATGACAAACAATGTGGCAATTCTCACGTTTGACTTTTCCAGAAGAGCAATGGGTTGTTATAAACAAAGCACTGCAAATTGATCACCGGTTGGATTAGTGGATATCAACCAGTGAATAGAATAATTCAACCACCTCCAGCACCATTACCAGTTATGCAGATTTGTTCGGAACATCCTTAATTATTCAGATTGATGGCACACACCATAGTGTTAAAAAATGAATAGTAAAAAACAGCATTGTATTTTTTTGTTATACATCTAATTATTTAAAGAATATACTTTTTGATCTCACTTGCTGTGTCCGTTGTTTAAACCATATTCACACAAGGGCCTTCAGTATACTAAGCCAGTGTTTACCAGCTTTCATACCCTAAAACTGGCATTGTCATGTTCTTCTGCCATTGACTGTTTTTGAAAAGACTAGCCACGTGCTTTAGTATAGTTAGGGTGAACTGAACTTCTCAAAAACAATGAAGCATGCCAGCTTAGACAGGGTCGACTGCTGTGTGGCAGTAATGTTCTGTTACTGCTGGGTTCTCTTTGCTCCATTTGAAAGTCAATATAGCCAAGCAGACCGTGCAAGTGTTATTAAAGTTTAATGCTGTCAGTCACCTTTCCTGGCATAAAAAAAAAGTGTTGAGTATAGTTGATTGATGATGTTGCTGCAATGAATGAACACTAAAATATCAAACATCAACTAGACATACCTTTTGTGTGCACTCCAAGCCGGTACGAACCAAATGTAAATATCTTGCCTCCAACACAGCTTATAGCTGATGGTGGAAGGTTCTGTAGAGGAGAGAAAGGTATACAGTGAAGTCAATATGGAGTCATTTCCTCTTTGTGGCTTTACTATAGAAAGCTTTAGTGTGTCTTGTGATTTTTTGTCCCCATTAACAACCCCATGTTACATCATAACTTACACTTAAAGGCATTCAACACCACAAATGAGCATACCTTTAGTTCACTGATCTCTGCTATCCATTCTTTAACAAAGTTATTCAACTTCCCAAGAACTGCAAGTCTGAAAGGAGATATAAATTTTAGCAGGTGCTTCATTCACAATACACACACCTCTCACTGATCATAGTGTGAGGATGAAAATGATACAAATATACAACACACATTCAAAAATTCAGTTTTTAGTAGTCTTCAGTTGAGACTACCAAAGAAGTGCTGGGGCATTATTTTACATGTGTTCGTGTTACTATTGGCACTACTTCTAAGTGCAGGTGTGCTTGCTGCAATGGAAGGGATGTAGTCTAGATACCCAATAGTTGTCTTGTTGTTAATAAAATTATACTTGCTGTTCCTCACCTATGGTTCAATTCCTCTTCATCTTCAAACACCCCAAAAGGTTTCATAGCATCACAGAGCTTCTGGGTGTACTGGTGGTCTATTTCTCGCGGGGGTGCAAGGCTAATGGCAGAGGTGATGCCATAGTGTTTCTGAGGCTGCTGCCCACCAGGCATGGTGCTGAGAGGGGACACGACATGGAAAACATGACATGAAATGACAGCTACTACACCACGTTAATTTTACAATGTCATGGTTTCTAAAACCAATATATGAACTCACGTAACGTTAAGTTAAGACATTTATCAGCCAGTCAAAATGTATAAGGTGCTATTCTTTACTAGTTGCTGTCGCTCTCCTTTAAGTTACCGCGAACCCCATGTGTAAACACTTAGCTTCATGCTTTAACAACAAAGTGACACATTTACATCACTTAAACAACAAGCGTATTAAGGTTAATTGTTTGTGATTCCAAATCTGAAACGTGAGTTTACCCAAACTGCAGAAACGTGTTTGAAATGTGCCACTATTGAACCCAAGCTGGCGGCGAACGAACGTTAGCCGAGAAGCTACAAACAGGTTGGAAGCGCTAACAAATTGGCTAATTTAGCAAGTTAGCAAACGCTAGCTGGCTGCTGCGGAAGAATTGGTTTTACTAATGACTCGCTTTCTGGTTAGACCTATTTCAGAGTTGACATTTTCTTAAAGAAAAATAAGTGAGCCTTTCGTTTTTTAAGGCATATTTACATTATAGTTACCCAACAACAAACAAGCGACGCGGCCAACTATCGGTGGCTGCAGGCCTTGTTTGGTTGTTGTGACAGTTGGCTAACGTTAGCTTTTAGCCTATTCTTTAGGACTCTCTTACACGCGAACAAAAATGTTCATAAATGGACAATGTGCCACATGCATGACTTACCTTGACATTTCTTTCATGACACTCTAAAAAGCTTGCACTGTTTTACTGCTGTAAACCCGTAAAAAACTAAGAAAGTCAGCAAGTGGAAATGATAACAGCCTCGACCTGATTACAACAATGGTCACTTTCCAGAGAGCGGTTCAAACCTTCCCACTGAACCGGAATCACTTCTTATAAGATAACGTATCAGCTCGTAAGCTTGAAAGAATATTCATATCTAATTAATTTACAAAACGCACGAGAGCTTTTGGATGCTAGCAGCTAAACACGCGTTTAATAGCTGTCAGGCCCGTTTTTAAATTCAAAACTACAAAAGTAACGGCGTTTGTTGGGACAACGTCTGCGTGCAGCACGCTGAGCAACCATCGTCAGGAGCCAGACACCGCCTCGCTGAGGCCACAGATCACGTGACCAGGCCTGACACTGCTCAGCCAAACCAGACCCGATCCTGCACAGCTAGCTGCAACATGTTACCCTCACCTGTCGCACACGGTGAGTATGAACGAAGTCGTTAGGACGAGATATAGCTGGACATTTATAGTTTAATATCTTGAAGATTATGTAGCATAAAAGCTAATGTATAATGCTTAGGTGAAAGGGTACTTCGGAAATGTAGCGTTATGTTGGATAATACTGGCTATAACCGTTACATTTTAAACTGTAGAACTTAAGTATTCCCCTGCTGCGCAAACCTTTTTGAGAACCACCTAAATGTTAAGGACAAGGGGAATGTAAAATAATACACTTTATTTGTGCATAGTGCATGTCTGTATGGAAAATAAAAGCATGTCTGAAAAGTAAACTGCTGTGTTGTGTTCAATATTGCTGTGTCCACCTGAGAGCAAGACACACTGAGGGAAACAAATAAAGGTATAAAACTAAAAAGAAACTAGATGAATAAATGTTGAGGTGTACTAATATGTAATTGTAGTGCCAATAACTTGTTTTTTGGAGGAAAGTATGCTACATCATAGGCCTATATCATTTGTGTTTCCTAAGAATATATTTAAAATATAGCCTATATATCTATGATCAAAGGTGTCAATGTCAGTTTGGTGTGGTGGGAGGTGGCATTTGTGGGTCCTCTGGGGTTCACAGATAGCAGAGCTTTGTCAGAAAATCGTAGGGGTCACCATGACAGGACCAGTGTTGGCTCTCTTCTCCCCCCACCAGCTCCTTCATGTCTTTCTGTTTACTTAGGGGTCATTCTTGTATCCAACAAATCTTTCCTCATTGAGTAGCCAGAAAGTTTACCTTACTGAGACAGAATCGGTCATTCCATTAATTAAATCTGCGTTGATAAGCAGTTGGCACCTTGCATGGCAGCCATTGGCATTAGTGTATGAATGTGCGTGTGAATTTGAAGGTGCTTTGAGTGGTCAGAAGATAGTAAGGCACAATAAAAGGGCAGTCCATTTACTGTTGTTCTTGTCAGCCATTATGCTGATAATTAAAGGATGTTCAGAAATATAGAAATGAAATGTTTTACTTTACACTGTTGAAAAGTAGACTACCTGGCTGAACCGGTTTTAAATAGTCTATGGCCTGAACATACCAGACTTCTGTATTTGGCAGGAAGGCCCAGCTAGTCCTTCTGGTTCTCTGAACCAAAGATTGTATGTAATCTCACCAGATTAAGCAGCTCTATCTAGTGGTCAGTTTCAATTATTACACTTAGTGTACAGTAAACTAAAATGAATAGGTTTGATCATCAGCCTTGATCGACTTTAGTGTATCAGTGAATGATCAACACTTGGTTACAGTCCTTGTCAAACCTCTGCTCTCTTTGGTGCTATGGAGATGATGTTGACACGTGAGATTACACTGCATCATTTTCCAATTAACGTTTGACAAGAAGTATAACTAATACAACTATAATATGTGGTTGTTGGCCAATGTTTTAGATTAAATATGACATTTGGTTTTCATTGATCAGTGTATTCTTTGCTCAACAGTGTTTAATAACCAAATACCTCATCAAAATGTGGTTGTGCTCTATGAATTTACACCAAATTATGTAGGCTATTGTAGGCTATGTAAAAAAATATTGTGTTATGTGTAGGCCTATAGCCTACTTGCTTTCAACCACCAATTATCCCTATTGTAATTCATTAAAAACCTTTTCTGTGTTTGTTTAGTGCATTGTTGAAGTTTTGATATTAATGGCTTAGTATGTTCCTGACTTCCTGTCTCAGGAACTACTCTGGGCATCACCCTGAAGACCTGTGAGATAACTTACCTTTCCAGGAGAAATGTGCTCAGTGTTGCCAGCTTGATTTCGTGAGTGTTGCAATGTATTCCAATAGGTCAACATAGTCACCGCAGGACAACACTTGGGCTGCATGCCAAGTCTCTTAATTGCACTCCACGTTTCCCTCACGCGCGTCTTTTCCTTGCAAGGAGAGAAGAAACGAGAAGCGACGTCAGTCGGCTCTAACAGCTGTAGAGCCTTTTGATGGAGATGTCTGCACACACGCACTGTGCTAAAACCAATAAAGGCACGCAGTTATCACTGCCAGAGCAGCGTGTTTCCCTTTGTAGCTGTTACCTGTTCAACAAACAAGCACATTCTATAGCCTATTTATACTATGTCCTGCTCTTTTCTACTGCACGGTGCTTTTATATTAGGCTATCTAATTGTTTGCATATGTATTTATTACTATTCTGATGTGAATTAATTATTGAATAACAACAATATGATTATAGTGTCTTTTGATCATTGGAAATGACTTAGTAGGCTAAATGTTCCAGAGAAATGTGATGTGATGATGTGACTCATCAAACCGACGCCCAAGAATGCCATGATCAGCCTCACGTGATGTCATGGAAATGAAATGTAAAACATTTCTTGCTGACAGACTCGCTTAGTTCAGTTGTATCCATAATAAAGGATAATGTGGGAATAACGGATAATGAAAAGAAAAAAAATCTTTCTAATAAATGACAGTTGTTTGTGGTCCTTTAGTTGGTCAGACCTACAATAAACACAGATTTTTATCTAGATGGTGAATCAGACAACAAGTAAAATATAAAGTAAAATATAAAACTTGGGAGTTGAATCAGTTATAATGTCTACACTCTGGTATGAAACTCCAGCAACGTTGTGATGTCAGATGAGTACGATCAGCTGCAGCGACCAATCAATAACTTATATCCAAAAAGCGGGCGTGTCGGCCAGTAAAAAAAAAAAAAAAATTCCTCGTGTGTCTTCGCTCATGGCTCCTCGCTCTTCCAGCAGAAATAAGAGCTTCGAGGCGATATCGATATCAAATAGGGCCTGTGTGGCTTGGTTTACCCTATATTAACTTGTGCAAGCAACCTTTAATCTTTCTGGGACAGACTCCTCCCACTTGTCCTACACCCACTTCTGCATTTTGGACTTTCAGTGTGAGTCAGATTGTTTAAAGTAGTCAGGCCAACAGACTGGTCACAGGGTCTGAAAAGTGCACGAAAAAAAGCCGTGTCAATTTCAAAAATGAGCAACAGCCCACTTCTTGTGAATGTGGAAAACTGGATTGCAGAGAACCAGAATGCTTTTCTGCCACCTGTGTGCAACAAGCTCATGTGAGTAATTTTAGGAGGTGCTTCTTTGCAACAACTTGTGGGATTACATAATGTGATGAACAATCAGCAGGTTATTTCACAACTTTACAGCAATTCAGATTGAAAAATTCTATAAATTAGTGTACAGTTTTGGTAGATATAAACAAATGAAGGACTAACACTTCCACAGTGAGGACATGTTGTGAGTACACTGTTTAATTGGTCTTTCTCTCAGGCACTTTTCCCAGTTGAATATCATGTTTGTTGGAGGTCCTAATACCAGGAAGGATTATCATATAGAGGAAGGGGAGGAGGTAAGAAAGAAGTGGGCTACTGATTTATTCTGCATAATGTTTTAGATTATTCCATGGATTATTTAATGCAAAATCTAATATTAAAGCTGGAGTGCGGGGTTTTTACATGCCCATTACATTCACAAACAAGTTCACACAATGCTGATTAAGCCTATCACCTCCAGGTAAATCCCTCCGTATTCACAGTGTGTTGTTTTTAAATCTGGTGTCTGTGGTGACTTTCCTGCACTGGCACAGGGGTAGTGATGCGTTTTACTCCAAACAGCAATGATTGGTTTGCCAGATCTGAAAGGGGGGAGCAACCCAGAGCCATGTAGAGAGCACCACGGTCTGCCAAACAAAGTCCACTGGAGAGAACGTTTATTATTGAGAATTGTTTATTTTGTTTATTATGATCGTATAGGTTGTGTTAATATGCTTTGTAAATGTTGTATTTTATGCAGTCCTGCCAATAAAACCACTTGAATTGAAACTGAACAGAGATAACACTGCTCTCTCTCTCTACATGGCTCTGGAGCAACCGTAAAGATGGAGTAGGCTATACTTGCATTACCCACAATGTGACTCACCCGCCAACAGTTTGTGTGTGTTATGCTAGTATAGTGGCTAATGTAGCTAGATAAGGGGCTGGCTACAGAGGTCTTGGTAAGCTCAGTCCTTTCTAAATTCACACCCCAAGACAAAGATCTCCCTGGAGACACAAAAGGCATCATACAACATTTGTTCACACATTTTTCATAGTTGTTTTCCCCAGCACCTTTAAACACACTTTGATGTGTTAAATCAGTGGCGTTATCCTGTAATCCAATACTTCTTTTGCCTCCTATCTTCTGTTTTAAATAGCTGTTCTTCCAGCTGAAGGGGGACATGTGTCTGAAGGTGATTGAAAATGGCAAACACAAAGATGTGCACATCAAGGAGGGAGAGGTGAGCGCTAACATACTTTTATGTATGTTATTTTCTTCTTCGGCACAGTTGTAGATTTGTCAATATAGTCAATTATAACTATAGTCCACCTTGAGGCAGTACAATTCACTCTGTCATGGCTCCTTTCAACGGTTTAGGATTTTCTTCAAATGAAAATGAACTGGTCATATTCCACAATGCTCCAGAGCAACTTTGTCAGCAAAATCAGTGTCAGTGTCTCATTCACATAGTTTTTTTCCCTGTCCGTCTGCAGTGCATTCATTTCTTCCCTGCTTTTAGATGTTCCTGCTGCCTGCTCGGATCCCCCACTCCCCCCAGAGACAGGCCAACACTGTGGGACTGGTGGTGGAGAGGAGGCGGCTGCTGACTGAGACGGACTGCCTGAGGTTAACTACTGTACCTCCCCTTTTCTCCCCCTTTGTTTTACTCGTCTCTTCTTAAGCAGATAATAGCAGGGGATACAGAACAAATGAACCAAATCACAATTACAGGAAAATGAAAACTCTGTTTTGTTGGAGAAAGCATAGGTACAGCTTTTCTTGATTGTTTTGATTCACTGTCTGAAACAAAAGAGCAGTTCTGAGAACAAAATTTCCAGTTTCCATTCGCAAAACATCAAACACATGTTGTAGAACATGCCGTGTTTCCAAAGCTCTTACATCATCCATCAGAAGC